GGTGATTTCGATCTATTTGATCAAAACCTTCGCTATCAACTCTAGGGAGGAATGTGGACTGAATCGGTCACACAAGATCATTCCGTATGGAATCAAGAACTTAAGTCAAACTTATGCACTGACAGGATTTTGAAACCAAACCCTTGTATGATAAACAAAATAATAAATGAACAAAGGGGGTAAGATTCTGAAGAAACTGTAATGCTGCGTCGCTGAGAGAGTGTAGCACGTAATTTACTTAGTCGAACACTCGAAAAGAAATTCCATATCTACGTGCGCACCTGTGTTATTCTCTACATATCATATATTGTGTAACTTTTGTAATTGTTCGTTATTTTAGTTTCAACCTACTTTATTTCACCGCTGAGGAGTTAAAGTAATTTGTTTTGTTTCTAGACGACATGGAGTTGTGCAGTTTCACTACTCTTTTAAACGGTTTTGAAAAAGCACAGGCCACAACAAAGTAATGTTGACCACACTCATCAATACTTTCCCATTTCAATTAAGGGCCATTGAATTTCAATAGTCAACACAACTGCAAATGCATATAAATTGTGTTAATACAAATGACAGAGCAGATATAAAACTTATATCTATTGCTTTAGAGTAGCCGGTAGTAGCATCACAGATATAGTCAGTTTTCACGACAGTTAAAAATTCTTTGAATTTCTCTAGGCGCCCCCAAAAGTAATACTATTAGCAAGGTGGCTAAATGAATTTGATAAGCAGATAACCTGGAGAATATATAAACATTCTTCCCTCTTTCGTGCAGTTCATCTCAAAAGCTCCAAGCCTGAAGCAGATCGAGCAAAGAACTTACCATGCATCCAGCGTTAAATTAATAAAAGAAAATAAAAATATGATTCTGTCGTAAAATCACTTTCTTAAATATCAGCTAACGAAAACTTTGATGGGGAAAGTCCGCCTGACAACGTGATTTAATTTTTTGCGGTAATTTCTCTGACTTGAATTTTTTCTATACTCTTTTCGTTTCGTTGTTTTGTTTTTTTCAGTCCAAACGTAACTGATTGGTGAGTCTAGTTGCAATGAAATTTCATATGCTTCAGCCGGTCTAGCGTATGAATACGTACCAATACGTCTAGCGATCTGTTATGACATCTAATCAGCGGAAACTTTTCAGCAGTTTTTATAGTAGTCAAATATGTCCATTTTCTACAATTTGGATAGCTTTGCAAACTTTTCCTTTAACAGGGGGAAAAACTGCTCAGTGGCAGCTGTATATGATCATGAATTTCTGTCGTGTATGTTTTTATTTCTCCAAGTCTTTGTGTTCCCCGAAAAATATCTCTACGGATAACTTGAAGTTCACATAGCAACCATGTAGACAATCAGACATGATCACCAGAGTAGCATCAAACCACGTCTGGTCTCAACGGATTATGAGCTGAGCTCCATGAAAAATTAATTTGTGACAAGAAGATGATGGTAAAGAGAATTTTGCATATCAGCGCGCCCGAGGAAATCGTGTTGTGGGCAAATTGGCGATTGTTTTTTGGTTTATCTATTATCTTTTTTTGTTTTACTGACCCATATATATTCAACAACATTAATACATTAAGTTCCCATTAAATTTTAATCAACCTTAAACCCAATTTAATTCTTCATTTATAAAAAAAAGCGTATACGTTTTCTAACCTTTTTTGGGGGCCTCTTACTGTAAGGCAAAACCAAGAGAATATCAGGTGTTGATATTCTCCTTTTAAGACTTAACGTCCTAAAAATTTTGCAGAAATACTTTTGAACTACTCTAGGGTGATATATGCAGTAAAGCGAGGTGGTCTTAATAAAAACAATTGGAAAAATAATTGCCTGCTTTAATGGGCAAACTTCCTCAGAATTGTATGTTCCTATTGTGATGTCTTTTCCATAAAATGATTTGATTGGTTCATCACACCTGAATTGACTTCTAAAGGAAAGGCGATGCCTAAATTAGTAATCTGCTCAAGAATGACATCACGAGAAACATCGTTTTCTCGAGTGGGGTGTGAAAGGTAAAATGTTGGATACGAAGTTTGTGTTTTTATTCATTTCAGTTTGGCAAGTTAAGTGAGACTGTATCACAGGAAAATGTGAAAAGATCTCTTTCAATAAGCAACAACATGCCAAGCAGAACCAAGAGCTTGTTGGCCATGTTTCCCACAATTCTGTTACATCAAACCCAGCTCAGTGCTACTTGTGGTGTATAAACGACTGTCGATGTTTGTCGATAAACTACAAAGTCAAGAACGAAACCAAATATTGCGAGTTGAACGAAGGCAACCATTTTACTGGGAAGAATTCTCTGGTAAACAATCCAGGATCTACTTATTACATACTGCAAAGAGCAATCTTCATTAAGGTAATAAATTTTATAGTTTTAAAAGCTGTTTTTATGAAGCATGATCGCCGGTCATATATCTTTTTTTGATATATTTTTAATTGTCTTGGCTCTATTAAAATTCTTTTAAATAGAAATTGACGATAGATTGCAAAAAATCACCACCATAAAAACAATGTATTATGATAAACATCTTGATGTTGTCAAAATTGTTCTTCTACGTGGATGCTGAACCCATAAGCAAAATTATTTATATGTTAGTTACGTTGTTTATTTTAAACCCGAAATAACGGCTGCCGAAAAATACGTTAAAATTTTAATGTTATTTGCAAAACAGAAAACTCAAAATTTGGAAAATATTCCTAGTATTGGTCCTTACTTGCAAGATACGTACCTCTTTTATTCCAGTCTTAAGGATGATGAAATTTTCTATGGAAAAAAGTAATGATTTTTTTCGGTTTACAACATATCAGAGAGGAATCAAAACAATTACGTTAAGCTCTCCGTGAGAATTCGAACGTCACCCACTTCCGATTTTTCGGCGAAATTCTTAAATTTATTTTACAAAAAACTCATTGAATCTTACAAGGTTAAACATAACTCACTCCTCAAACTCTTGCTTCGCGGATTTAAGGAAGAGGTAATCTGCACGCACGTTTGATGATTAATGAAGCACTTTTTAAATATGTTTAATTAAAATAAGACCATAAAGATAAAGTGGTGATAGAAGATTTATTTTTATTTTGATCAATTTTTGTTCATGAGGCTCTTAACGTTCCATGTGTTACTGACGTCCCATGTAGCAACGGCTGCTGCAGGAACAATTCGTGTCTTAATGGAGGAACCTGCTCAAAGATCTGTGAGCCCATAAGTGTTCGGTACAACTGTTCCTGTCCTGTACCGTTTGTCGATAAACACTGCGAGATTCAGTTGAGAAGAAGCTGTCAGGATTATAAAGCAGCCAAGTTCACCGCCTCTGGATTGTACACCGTCACTGATGACAGAAACCAAACTTTCCAAGTATTCTGTGATTTTGATTCCGAGCCTGAGTTCGCATGGAACCTGATCGAATCATTCAATTTGTCCAACAAAAATCTTTTTAAGGTAATATTCCTAAGATTTTAAAGCCATAAAGAAATATATCCTGTATGTTCTCGTCTGCAGAAAATAGGGAAAATTGTGTGCTCTCAAATAGGAATTTTGTTGTTTTTTTTTTAAGTTTAGTTCGTCTGTCTTCTTAGAAGCTTTCGTCACAAGGATATCTTAGAATCATTCTGTCAACAAATGAATCTTTTTTTCTACATAATGACTATCCAGACTCGAGTGCCATTAGCAGTAATGCTTCAAATTGACAAGAGTACGTTGTAAAAAGTTCAGCCTAATCTTTGTTGCAAGCTGCAATGATCTTAAGCTCACAGAAGTGATAGTGATCTTTACCAACTGAGGTTGACATTTCCAATCGACAGAATAACATCGTATTTTACGATGACTACCAATCCATCGGCGGTGACGACCCAAATTGGCAGGCCTACCTCATGAAACGACCCTACCTCCTTTGGCGCAGGGATCACTCGACCTACTGGAGAGCTACCTGCCGATACAACACAGATGGCACCGTATATACAGATTACCTGAGAGCCTCGCTTGAAGATTTTGATATCATCAGAGAAGTACCCACGGTGTTAGATGTCTGTCGACCTTACGAATATGTGAACATCCAGGGAAATAAGTGTGTGAATTATACAGCACGGACATGGTATAAAGAACCTACTCCTTTGCATATGGACAGTTCCTATCGCGGATTTTGCCAATTTGACGGAAGTGAGATAGACCCAGCCAAATGGGACGAGGACAACTTTGGGTGGTACGCTAATAAAAATCCCAAATTCCGTTGTACCTCAAACCTGAGTGATATGACTCAGTTCTGGATCGGAGGCAAATAGTTCACTGACCAAACAACACGGCAGATCCAACCGACAGCTTTTCTCTTTTTGTTCAGCAGCATATCGTGGAATAGAACAAGCAGACCGTATGAATTATGATTTCAGTAGACCTTTTGCACCAATTTTTAAAATAGAACTCACTCAAGAAATAGAAAAGATCGGTCATTATTATCGTATAAAGGGGGCAGGGGGGTCTGGGGATTTTGGTGGTATCAAGAAAACTATCACCTGATCCCCCATCAGGCTCTCTAATATTCTTATTTTTATGATTCCCCCCTTCGTTGGCACTCAATTTGACAGTCAATCCTCTATAGTCCCTCCCATGTATACCCTGTTGGTGACGACTGATCCCCCCCTCCGTTCTCCCTGAAAACCATGTGATCCCCCTCTAAAATTCTCTCCATCCCCCGCTCCGTGGCTTATAATTTTCATTTTCTTTTGGAACCCCTATCTTGAAGGAAAACAGAACAGCTTTAGTTTTAGTTAGCAGAACCTTCGAGAAACAGGCCCGTGGATCCACCGCTGAATTATTAATATCTAGTAAAAATATAATAAAGTCGTAAAATCATTGCCCAGAATATCAGCTAACAAAACACATTTGACACTTTAGTTCTGCGGTAATTTCTGTAATTTTACATTTATTTTACTCTTCTCTTACGTTCTTTCGTCTTTTTCAGTCCAAACATAACTGAAAAGTGACTATGATTAATTAGAAATGCGTCAGTGAAGTTGCATATCAAAAGATTAAACACCAAGAGAGCTCTCTCGAGTGAGCTGTATGCGACTCTCATTAGCACAAGATATTTTCAACAATTGTTATAAAAAATTATTTACATACTTAAATGCAAACCCCAAAATTGTCTGCAAATCCCCAGCGGTTTGCAGGTGTAAAACATGTTTGCGATATTTTTTAGTTATGCTTGTAAATATGCAACTTTTTTTAATTTAAATAAGAGCGAGTGGGTCTGTTGAGACAATGTCAATTTGTTGGTTGTGTCGCAATAAAATTTACTTGATCCTCTAAAGTCTCTGTAATATTCTAATGATCCCGCTTAATTGGCAGTCAATTTCCTATAGTCCTCCCTCAATACTCTGTTGGCGACGACTGACCCCCCACCCCTCCTCTGTTCTCCCTGAAAATCCACTCATATGAAGACGCCGGCCATAAACTTTACACATAAAGTTACAGCTGGAGCCATGGGTTCCTCTTTTTAATTTCTAACACTTCATATCTATTTTCTGTAAAATCTATTCAAGGTGGTGGGTGCCACGGTAACACGAAATTGTCGAAGGAAATTCTAGCATTAATTATTATCAGTTTTGCCTCAGTTGGCTTGAATAGGCTGGAGATAATTTGCCATATCGTTATATTTTTTCAAACACTCAGCGAAAATCTCAACTCTAGGAACCGATTGAATATTATATTTCTTTTCTGTACAACAAAATCGAGAAATCATGGACTGGTTGTCTGATACAGATATTCCGTTGCTAAATATTTCGTCAAAATGCTATTTGTAATTACCTCTATTGTCTGCTTTTCATTTAGGAGCATAGTTGGACATTAATCGATATCAAAATAAACCGCATTTTATCCTTTTGTATTCTCAATGTCTTACTGTCTTACGCTGATATGACGAAAGCATTCTCCTGAGGGGTTCCTTGCCAGTAGTTCCCCCGCATTTTATCCTTTTGTATTCTTAATGTCTTGCTGTATTTTAATCTCTGATATGAACAAAGAAATGATTTCAAAAGTGTGATATTATTTCGCAAGTCCTTGCTAGTAGACAGCGAGCGTAACAAGTTTGCTTCATGAATAAAACAGCTGAATTCTCCTCACACTTTAAACTGAGCTTGCATCTGATGAACTTGTACGGTGGAGGCTATCATTTATTTGGCGTCAGGATATCAATAATTAATAATTCAAATTCATATGTAGATATTGTCTTGTTTGTTTTGCCAGCACTGAAGAGAAACCAAATTATAAAAGGTATTAAGCATTCAATGTACTCACCCTGTTTTGCATTACGCATGCAGTTCTACCAGACTGTGTTATTTATATACAAATAAAGAAGCCTTGACTGTGCTCAACACGTTGTGTTGAAAAGTACGTAGGAAGCGGCTTGAGCACGAAAAAAGTGTAGGGAGAAACACGAGTGCTAGTCGAATGTTTCTTCCTCCTTCGTGAGTCAAATTTCTCTCGCGTTTCTTCCTATTTTCAAAAAATATATATAAAATTTGATGCAAATAAAAGTGTCGTCAGTATGGTTTAACTGGATGAAAATCAGAAACAACTGAATTTGAAATGAGGTTAATATAGTCACCATCAATGGGCTTGATTTAAGAGTAAACTTTATCCGCAAAAACTCAGAAAAACTAGCCTAGGTTGTCCCACATGTGTTTTAAACAACACGTTCGCAGTTTTGGAGGGAAGAAATTTGAAGTTATGTCCTAAGTAGAACATCTGCATCATGTTATTTGTGCGCCACACCTGGCAAATATCAAGCACATTACTTTTCTGAGCCTTGAATATTCATATTGTGAAGTCATTTTCTGTGAACTCGTTTGATTGGTTTCTTACACGTTTATTGACATATAGGGATGGGCGATATCTTAAATAAGTAATCTGCTCAAGAAGGACATTTTGAGAAACATCATTTCCCCAGCTGGGGTGTGAAAACGATAAAAATGATGGTTGCAAAGTTTTTTTGTATACTCTTGTTAGCTTTTCAAGTTAGGGGCTACTGCTCCCCTCTAAAATGTGAAAAGATCTCTTTTGATGAGCGACAAGGCGCCGATCATAATAAAGAGCTTGTTGACCATGTCTTCCACAACTCTGTCACTTCAAACCCACAGCAGTGCTATCTGTGGTGTATCAACGACTGTCGATGTTCGTCGATAAACTACAAGGTCAAGAACAACACCAAATACTGCGAGTTAAACGAAGGCAGCCATTTTACAAACAAGAAGTCTCTGAAAGACATCCACGGAAGCGTTTACTACGTACTGCGGAGGGAATACTCCACTGAGGTACTACATTTCTCAATGCCATATAGTATTTTTACGACCCATCTTTGTACTCTTTATCTTTAGATAAAAGGTGTTCAATAGAAAATAATACATGTGTGGGCGTAAATATGGAATTTCTCTTTGAGTGTTTAATTCCATAGCTCGGGAGTGAGCACAGCTAAAGGGAATAATTTACTAAGATATTAAACTTTATTATGTCATGAGGTATTTTTACCATGAATGATTCCAGGTCTTCATCTTAAGCTATTAGCTATTCATTTGTTATATTTAAAACCGAAAAAGCTTCTGGCTGACGATAAACTACAAAAATAGGTCCACACTGCGTACGTGTCTATAGTGTAAAATGGAAAAAATGTATAAACGTACATACATGCTTACAGCTGTGCTGCACTTTAAGTCTATTGGTTAAGTAGGTTGAATAGATATAAATGATTGCGTAGGTGTATTATAGTGCAGTAGTTGTTTATGGAAGTTGTTTGAAAATCTATTTAACAATAAGATTATGAGTTTCGAGTTTTTCTAAGTAACTTGATCCATAAAATAGTTTCTCAAATAATCAGAAGCAAAACTAAACTAAAATTATGACTACCTATCCTTGTGGATGCTGATGTCTTCTCCAAAAGTATTTCAAAACAGAGAACATCGACTGTTTTGAGCTCGAGCTAACAGCTGCAAAAAGATGGGAGATTTAAATTATTTTCCAAAACTGAAAACTTCGAAAAAAAACCTACTATTTTTCCCAGTCTGTATTTTAAGGTCCATCTTTATTCGGATCTTGAAAGTTAACACATCTCGTTACTTAAACTTTCATGAAAAGAGATGAATCTTTCGAAATACAAAAATGGAATCAGACAACTAACGGAGAAACATTCAAATAAGGAACTGTTCCTGGCAGGTGCAAGAGCTGCCCACCGGCGAAGATATCTTGAATATCATTCGCAGGTCAAAAATATAATCGAATTTATTTCGTAGAGAAAATATTAAAAACAAATTGTTACGAAATGGAAAAATTCGTCTTTTTCCCGATTCCGTAGTAAAACATTGTTTTTTCATAAACGAGATTGACCTATGTAAAGTAGAGACATAAAATCAAAGACTCATTGATAAGTTTTAGGAAATATTTGGCATTGTGTGATCTCGCTCGTTTAAATATTGAAAAAGGGGTAATTTTAATGGATCATTATGGCATGGTCGGTATTTAAAAAAGGCTACCAGATTGAGGCATTAGAGATTTCGGGAGCAACCGTAAAAGCTTGCAAATTGCAAACTTGATAAAAGAAAAAGCTTAGGTTAATGCAACACTTTTCTGTCAAACACAAATTAGGATCACAATAATGATATAATGATGAAAAATTGTTTTATTGTTTTACCAATTTTTGCACATAAGGCTCCTAACCACGTTATTCCATGTACTGATGATGTCACGTGCAGCAATGGCTGCTGCAGGAACAATCCGTGTCTCAATGGAGGAACTTGCACTGAGATCTGTGAGCCCACAAATGTTCGGTACAACTGTTCCTGTCCTATACCGTTTGTTGGTAAACACTGCGAGATTCAGCTGAGAAGAAGCTGTCAGGATTATAAAGCAGCCAGGTTCACCGCCTCTGGATTGTATTCCGTCATTGATGACAGAAACCAACCTTTCCAAGTATTCTGTGATTTTGATTCTGAGCCTGGGTTCGCATGGAACCTGATTGAGTCATTCAATTTGTCCAACAACCACCTTTTTAAGGTAATTTTCCTAAGATTTTAAAGCCATAAAGAAATATACCCTGTACATCCTCGTCTACAGAAAATAACGAGGATGCGAAAATTAAGCGCCCTCAAAAATGAAATGCCTTCATTTTGAATTTTTTTCTTCATAAGTTAAATTCGTCTGTCTTTTTAGAAGCTTTTGTCACCAATGATGTCTTTGAATAATTCTGTCAACAGAAGAAATCTTGTTTTATACACAATGACTATCCAGACTCAAGTACCATCAGCAGTAATACTTCAAATTGACAATAGTACGTTATAAAAAGTTCAGCCTAATTTTTGTTTCAAGCTGCTAGAATCTTAAGTTCATGGATGCGATAGTGATCTTTACCAACTGAAGTTCACATTTTCTGTCTACAGCTGATCGTATTTTACGAGAACTACCAAGCCATCAGCGGTGATGCCCCAAATTGGCAGGCATACCTCATGAAA